TCAGCACGGCGTCCTGGCCGCCTTCCAGGGGGGCAAAGCCGTCCGCGAGGTCCGGGCAGCGTGGGTCGATGAGGATGCTGAGGCGCGAGCTGTCAGCTCTGTCCACGGTGACCAGGGCACTGTTGGCGCCGGCAGGCCCAGTGCTGAGCATGGGCGTGCCCAGTGCTGGCTGTGGGCGGGGCCGCCGTGCCCGGGGCATGGGTGTGGTTCAGGAAGAGCACAGCGCCGGTGACAGCCACAGCCAGCAGCACCGCCAGCGACAGCAACACCGTGCACAGCACGTAGCTACAGCTCGGCCGCTGCAGGACAGACAGGCCCGGGACACACGGACAGACAGGCAGACGGGAGAGAGAAGGGCCAAGCGTTAGATGCAGACCAGGACCCCAGTTCTGCCCAGCGGGGCTTCACGACGCCAGGCGAGGCCCAGGGGACACTGTCGCTGGAGGAAGGGTGCCATACAGAGGGACGGAGTCCTGGAAGGGAGACGGGGACACCAGGTAGACAGAGCGAGTGAGAGGGCGAGAGATGCAGAGACAGATGGAGAGACAGACGGATACAGGGAAACAGACGGAGAGGATGGAAAGGGGAGACTAAGGCAGAGACGAGGAGACGGAAGGGCGTACGGTGCCTGTCCTCACGTCGGCCTGCCCTGCCCCCCTGCACAGGGTGGCCGGGGAGGGCTGGAGCTGCAGACCCTCCTGCAGCCCACGGGCCTGGCCCGAGTCCCCGTGCTGCCATGTCCCACATGTGACCACCGGCGAGGGGCCTTACATCTTGGGGACCTCACCTGTAAACTGGGGACGGTAGTGACACTCACCTCTCTACAGGTGGGCAGGCACCTTGTGGACTCAGGTGAGAGCCGTAAGGGTGACGGCATTGGCACTCGGAGAGGTTGCGCGGGAGCATTGCCTGTCCCTGAAGGTCCCTTCCCACCTGGAGCACCCTTGTCCCAGGGCCAGGGCCTCTGCCTGCCTGCTCTGCTATTCTCCAGAATGGCACCGGGGCCACCCCCTCCCCCTTCTCCCCCTCTGTTCTCACAGAGCAGGGCCCTGGCAGGACAATCACTGCAGGGAGGAGCCGTGAGGCCACCTGAAGACGGCCGGCCCTGCCACTCTCCAACCAGGCGCGGGCTGAAGTGGGGCAGCTGGGACTCTCCAGATGGCAACATCTCAAAATGGGGACAGAATGGAGGCAGAGCAGGCACGGGGACACGGGGCCATCTTAGTGGGGCCCCAGCCAGAGGAAGCCAGAGCTGAAGTGCAGCTTGGCACTAAAGGAGGTGTCGCGCAGGGCAGCAGTCTGAGGGGCCCAGACACACCGCACGGAACCACTTGAAGTCACTTAAAGCCACTGAACATTTTCCACGTAGGAAGCTGAGGCCCAGGGAGGGCAAGGCACTTGCCCAAAGTCACACAGCAAATTAGAAGCTGAACTCATAGGGGACCCAAGCCTCCTGCCTTCCTCTCAGGGCCAGGCACCTCCTACCACTGAATGTCCCGGCGATGACACACACATTCCCCACGTTTTCAGCTTCCTCAATTTGAGCTGCGTCTTTAAATGAATTCGTATATTATAGCACTTGGAGCTGTGCCTGGCACATTGCGCTTGTGCAGTAAATATTAGCGGCTTTTATTATCTTGTGATCGATGTGCACAGAGCATCTGGAGGCAGGGCGCTTTTCCACCGAAGTGTTCTTCCTGCGTGGCGCTGGGCACCTTTTCTGCTCACACTCGAACGTCTCTGGCTTTGGGGGCATCCCACGACGTAACTGACAGCCCGCCTGCTTTCTTAATGGCGCACAGGACCACGCCGCCTCTTCCACCCTGTCTTCCGGGAAAATGCGGCAACACCAGTCTCTTCTCTTCGTAGATTCAGACTCTACAAGGACTCTTGGCTCTCCTGCTGGCACCAGAGATTCGGAGGGGTCGGGGTGAGGCGCACGTGAACAAGGAGATCCCTGGGAAGTTCATGAGGCGAGAGCTCCTTGGCCTGTCCCTGGAGTCACCATGCTACCAGGACGCTGTGCTCCACACCTGCCTGGGTCCCTCGGCATCCATTCTGGGCTATGACAGGCTGCCTTTGGCCAGGCCTGCTTCCCGGCTGCTCATCCACAGCCCTGCTTGCTCTCTTCCTGCAGGGCTTTGCCAGCCGTCACCATCTCCAGGAAGCCTTCCTTGACTGTTTCCCCACCCCTCCCTACAGCTTGGAGAGGCTCCTCCTCTGTGCTGTCCCAGGACATGGCGCATCCGGGCAGAAAATTGCCTGGGCTTCATCTACTCGTTCATTCAAACACCCATTCGACGCCACTGGGTGTCCCCATGGGCCAGGCTCTGGGCCAGCCTTAAGGAGGCGTCGGTGCAGGTCAGACAGACCCCTGTCGGGTGGGAGTTCATACCCCATGGACTACGATTCTAGAGAACCCAGTGGATGCTGTGGCACAGTCCCTGGGGGTTCGAGAGCTGGCGAACCCCAGGCCCAGGAAGTTCGTTCTGGACAGTGACCCCACCAGGCACAGGGTGCCTGGGCCCAGAATCCCCATGGCCGACTCTTGAGTGCTGGACAGGTGTATGGACAGAAGGAAAGAAGAGCCAACAGTCAGTGGCGCCCGCCGGGACGCGGTGCGGGAAGGCCTGGGTAGGGAGGAGGTGAAGGTATTCCTGGGCGGGGCAGAGGCTGCAGAACTCCTGCTGAGTCCCCCCACCCAGGCTGGGCTGCTGGGCCTGCACCCTCCTGGCTGGCATGGCCCAGGATAAGGGCACCCTCCAGGCCGCTCCAGGTCCCCAACTTGCAGATAGGCAGCAGGGCAGCTCCGCTGCCATTCCTTGGGCCACACTGTGTGTTCGCCCCTGAGCTCTCCAAACGGCCCTGGCTGCATTCACTTTCCGAGTGGGAAATTGAGGTTCAGAGGGCGGAAGAGCCAAGCCCACCGTCGACGGGGCCAGCGTGGGAGTCTCTGGAAGTGCACCCCACTGGCCGCCTGCCAAGGCCACCCAAGTCCATCCTGCCGCTGAAGCATGGCTGGGGTGTGGGAGACCACGCTGTGTCAGCAAGTCCACCCCCGCCATGTGGCTCTGGAGCCTTCGCAGACACCTTGCCCCGGGGCGGCCGCGCTGCCTCGGCAGACTGTGTGGCGTTAAGGTCCCCAGCTGGCGAGGGTTGGGGCTGGTCGCCTCCCGGTCTCCAAGACCCCAGGCCTCTCAGCACCCTCCTTCCACCCAAGCCCCTCTGTGGACGCAGAGCAGGGAGGGGATGGAGGAAGCTGCAGGGGTTCCCCGGAGGTAGGGGGCCGGGAGCTTGGGGGTGAGCCAGGCGCTTGGCAGCCGGGGTCGGTCTTCAGAGGTCCCCTTAAGGATGAAGGGCTGTTGGCTTTTACACCGTGTATGCGCCTCACAGAGAAATGCTGCCTAGATGCAAGAGGCCGTGGCAGGGCGGGGTGACCTCCCTGGTCTGCCAGAGCGGGAGGGTGCATGCAGACCCCACCTCGCAAGAACCAGGCAGCCCGAGGGTGCCCAAGTCGGGAGACCAGGTTGGAGACGCCTCAGCCACAGCCACCTGCATGAGCCCCAGCTGCAGGGATGGGCTTCGGCTCCACACGGCCCCCAGCCCTGCCCAGGGTCAACAGCTGCCTAGGGAGCTCAGGCACGAGGGAGACAGGATGGGCTCATGTGGGAAGGAGACAGGAGGCAGGAAGTCCCCACAGAGGCCTGGGTGGCAGGGCCGTGATTCAGGTGACTGCCTCCTCTGAGTCCTGGGCCTCCAGAGGTGGCAGTGGTCAGTGCCAGGTGCCCGGCTCTGCACCCCCTGCCACACGCTGCCCTGCTCCTGCCCTGAGGGCGCGGGGTGGCTGTAGTCCCCAGGCAACACTGAAGCTAGACTTCTCTGTGAAAGGGGAGGAGTCCCTGTCTGGGCGTGGCAGGGGCAGGCAAGGTTAGATGGAGGCCTACTCCCCGACCCACCCTCAGGGAGTGCCCCAGCCAGGCCAGAAAGGCCTCGTGGAGCCTGGGCTGGGCAACCAAGGGCAGGCAGTGCACACAGCAGGGGCTGTCCAGAGTGCACAGCCTTGGGGTGGGGGCTCATGGGCCAGGGAAGGTCAGCGACCCAGCCCTCAGCCCCCAGCCCACAGCCCGTGGGGAAACTCCCTCTGCGTCTCCCCAGAGCCCCATCCAAGCTGAACGCTGAGCCCCAGCCCAGGCAGGGCAGGGGTCCCAGAGATCCCTGGGTGGGTGGTGGCTCTGCCCACACTTCTGGGGTAGAGGCGGGGAGAGGGTCTGGAGTCATGTTCCCTGAGAGCTGAGCTAAAGCCCCCCAACCTCCGACATGGAGCCCACTGGGAGGGGCCCGGGAGCGGGGCTAGCGGTGTCCAGGGGCGAGGTGTCCCACAGTCTGCCTTCCCAGGGAGCACTGGGATTGGGTCTGCGGGGAGGGGTCTAGATACCTCCCCTGTGGCCCACAGGTCCCCAAACTACGGGGTCAAGCCATAGGGCTCTCACCCCAGGAAGGCACACCATCACCAGCCACCCCTGCCAAAGCTGGTGCTCCAGGCCCCCAGCTCCAGGCAGGCACCCCCTGCCCCTCTAGCCCCCTGTACCCACCCATGCCCCAGCTCCTGCGAGGACCATGCCCCACCCCCCGTCTGCCTCTAAATCACCACGACCATCTCATGCCAGCCTCCCCTGCCCGTCTCCCAGCACCTCCAGCACAGCCCCCTGTGGCAGCCAAGGACGCTACCAAAAAGCACTGCCCGCTAGACTCCTGGGGCGACCGTGGGTCCCTTCGGCAGGGCACCGCAGCCCAGGTCTTACGAGACCACGAGTACAGGTGCACCTGCCTCCCTCAACCTGAGAGTCACCTCCTCCGGGAAGCCACCCCTACCCGGTCTCTGCCTGTGCCAGGAGCCTCTCTGATCGCCAGCCTCCCCTTCTCAGCCACATCCCAGTGGTGGAAGCTGGGGGGCGGGGCAGAGCAAAGGAGTCTTGGCCAGGAGCCCCAGAGGCCCCTTCCTCCCTACCTCACCAAGCCTGACGCGGTGACCTCTGCCCAGACCCAGGGAGTGAGAGGAGCGAGCTGCCAGTCTCCCTTGGGCACGACCACGGTTCACACTGGTTCCGGCTCGCAAGCTCACTCCCATAGGAGCCTCGACGCTCTCTGAGGCACAGAGTGCCTCCTCCAGGCTGTCTCCTGGTATGAGGCAGGGACTCCCTCTCAGTCACTGAATGAATTAATGCTGCAGGGATTTAGGTTAGACATCAGGAGGACTTCCCACGGAGAATTTCTTTCTGGAAGGTTTCCAGACAACCCGGAAGCATCGAGAGGTGCCCCTCGAACTGGGTCAGAGGCCGACCTCTGGGGCGGCCCGGCTTAGGGACTGACTGCTTGCAACAGGAGGGCGACTTCCTGCCCGACTCCAGGACCAGAAGACTCATGTCTATTCCCAGACCCTTCCATCTGAGCAACTGCAGCTCCCTGCTCCGGCGGAACATCAGCCCCTTCCTTCTGCAGGCGAAGGACCCGAGAAGCAGAGCTGGCAACTTGTCCGAGGTCGCCAGCAAGGAGGGCCTGAGGCTGGCACGGCAGGGACAGAGCGGCCCAGGGCAGGCCCCAGAAATGCCCAGCCGAATCCCTTCATGGGCAGCAGATGCCGCAGGTGCCCTGAGAACAGGCCGTGGGGCACAGACCCCTCGTGCCTCCCCTTGGGAGCCACAGGCGGATTGAGCCCGCTCGGTCCCACAGCCACCTCTGCTGTCCCGAGGGCCCGGCATGGGCCCCTCTACCCTGGGCCTCGGTTTACTCACCTGTCAAATGGGTAAGGTTAATTGCCATTTCCTCACCTCACCCCAGGGTTTTGGCTGAAAGAGGAGAGACGGGGAGGCTGGCTGG